GGGATCACAATAGTGATGAGGGAATAGATTGGAAGATGAGATCTAGGGTAAAATCCTGTCCCCATTAAAATCAATAGGACGCTTGCCATAGACTTATGCGGCGCCAGGATTTAACCCATATAATTTATGCTTTTCAGGGCAGGGAATTGTCTGAGTGTTTTGGAAAGGACTGTGTGTACAGCTGTAGGGTTAAAGAAGTAATAGTAATGAAAGCAGTTTTGTAGTGGCTGGGATTCAAAGATTTTTTTTTATTATTATTTTTATTTTTTGGTAAGGGTCAACAAGACAGTTATGAAAGGGCTGCCTACTTTTTCAGGAACTTCGGAAACATTGAGCTGGCTGGCTTGTTGGCAGACAGTTTCTGTGGGGGCTTTTAATGGCAAGGAAAAGGATTTCTTGTCATTCTTTTTTATGCTTTGGGAATCCCTAGAACTGTAGTTCCTGGAGGGAATGGATGAGAGGGCCATTTCCACTGGGGATGTTTTTCTTTAATTCTGTATTCCTTTTCCTTCAGCGAGGGAATCATTTCTTTAGTTTGTGTGTATGAGTATGTGATTAAAAATGCAGCATACACTTTCACTAATTCTTCCCAGGAGCCAGAAAGAAACCATCTCATCTCCCCAGCCTAGATGATAAACATTTGATCAGGGATGATAGGTAAGGTCCTGACAAGGAAATGCTTGAAGGATTTTATATTAAGTAAACGTAGCAGAGGAAGAGGAGACAGATGTATTAAGGTCTTAAAGCCTAGTTCTGATCTTGCATACACCATGCAAGTACACAGAAGTTAATTATCACTTTGCAACTAAGGTTCATTAAAGTTCTGTTTAAATACTATATTTTGCATGTGAACATTGTCTCACTATAGTCTAATGGAGGGGTTCTCAAATTGGGGGTCAGGGCCCCTCAGGGGGTCGCGAGGTTATTACATGGGGGGATCGCGAGCTGTCAACCTCCACCTCCCATCCCACTTTGTATCCAGCATTTACAATGGTGTTAAATATATTAAAAAGTGTTTTTAATTTATAAGGGGGGGGGTCCGCACTCAAGAGACTTGCTATGTGAAAGGGGTCACCAGTACAAAAGTTTGAGAGCCACTGGTCTAATGGAATATATACTCCTAAATTTTCCTTCTTGGAATATTTTAGAAATATGCTATACCTTGATTTAGCTATAAGGAAATCTGCTGTTGTATACTGGAAGCAAACTGTGAAGTGTCACTTTTAGAGGGAGAGTAATTTCAAATTACTGTATTTGGCTGAAGGTAATGTAGTGAATCTCTAAGCCCAATATGTTACAGTATGCAGATAAGGCATCACCTACTAAGCCAAAGAGGTTTGTTAAACAATTTCTGTTAAACTTGGTTATGACCACATCGGTCTAAAGCTAATCTTCATGCAGCTTGTTTGTCCAGGGCCAAACCTTGTTATAACCTTATTAAGAGCAATTTTTCAACCCAGCCTGTGCTATTAAAATGGTTGCTCTACCGAGGGGCATGGGGCTTCATACTTCCCGTCTTGATATTATTCAACAAAATATCAAAATGGATCATACTACAGGTCTGTCTCATCTTACGCGGGGGTTCCGTTCCGCGGTTAGCGCGTAAAGCGAAAACCGCGTATAGCCAAAACCCCATTGAGTTCAATGGCGGGCGAAATCGCCCGCACTACAGGTATAGTATTAAAACTGTTGTTTTTCTCTTGTTTGTTTTTTTTGTTTTTGCCGACTGCGTAAAGTTGAAATCGCGCATGTTAAATGCGCGTAAGATGCGACAGACCTGTATTCGTGTGCTTTACGTTTAAAAATACAGTAATTAAATCAGAGAACTTAACAGTGTCTCTAAAACAAATAAAAGAACACATCACCCAGCAGAATGAGCAAAATGGCCCAAGCTCAGTGTGGAAATCGCAATAAAGCATTTTTTTTTTTTCACATTTGGGATAGTTTCCAAGTAAAGTGAAGCTGGCTTTTGTGGGTGGCTTTTAAGTGCGATAAGTTCTCATGAATATTGCTACAGAAAGATTCACACTGGAAATGAAAGTCCTCTCTATCTGCAAGAGACATTGGCAAAACAAGCTTTCCAACACTTGACACTGGGCATCCTCTTCTGAACTTTAATGCCCTCCTTTATGAGTATGGTCTTGGGGCTTTTTGGTTTAAAATACCTAAATCTGGTGTCAGTTACAAGAGGGCCAGAAGTCCCTAGGACAAAAGTGCAGTGATCTGACAGCAAAGACAGACATCAATAACTTTTGTTCAATCTTCACCTGGATTTCGGTTTGAACAGATGATCTAGACTAAACGCTCTGTATCTGATTTCCATTGACCAGAATTGGCTAGTCCCCACATTTGGGGATTAGGAATTAGGATCAGGATTGCCCTATAAATAATAGTTTAAATTGGGGGGGAAAAAACCCAGACCTTACTCAGTTTCTTGCACTGAGTCATCATCTTTGTATTGTTCCACACCACTTCTAGTCTAATGCATGGTAAGAATGGATGTGGTTGGGGGCATGTGACTCAAAGAAAACAAAAGCTGAAAACAGTCAGAAAAACCAAGCTTGTATAGTTCAACATTTATTTCCTTAAATATTCCCTCCAGTTTTTTCAGTAAATAGAGCTCCCAATTTTTAATAATCGTTTGTGGAGTGTAAGGTATCCGCTTTTGTTCGGCCATTTAATATCCTTTGCTCCTCAATCTCATTAGGAAAAAAATTGAAACTTTACTGTACCTAGCAAGTTGTAAACTTTTATGACAGTTTAATCACTGTTCTGATTACAGCATTCATTGACAGCTACCACACTGAAAAAAAAAGGGGGGGGTCGGGGGGCAAGGGAAATGAGAAACTTTAGGACTAACTGTGATACTGTATCTCAGAACAGGACCACATCAATCTGCATTGTGTGAGATTACCAGACAGTAAATCAGCTGTGCTGTGTTAAAGCCAGAAACCAGTAGCATTCGCACTTGCTGCCTGTTTCCCACTCATTGTAAAACCATGCCCTATCACTTGATAGACCTGGAAAGGAAGTGCAAAGGAAGTGAATGCCACTGCTGGTTCAGAATGTTCCAGTGTGGTTGGAAAGTTTGAGAAACGGCCTGGGTGAGAAGAACAAGACCTTATTGACAGGGTTCAATCCTGGTCAGGTCTGTTTCACATCAACTTTCTAAATAATCACAGCACTCCCTTTCTCCTCCCACCCTCCCTCCAAGCCCCTAGGTTCATGCTCTCTCTCTGGGTCTCTAGCACTTTCACCTCTGCTTTTTTAACAGGTTATGCAGCCAAAGCAGAACACTGAGCACTTTTTTTTTATTTTTTTCATCTTGGGGGAATTATAAAATGTGTAAATTACAGGTCTGCTTGCTTCTAAAAAACCCCCTCATACTTTTCAGGGCTTTTCTACTGTAAATTTTATATTGTGAATGCTTTTTCTGTTGAGTCTTATTCTTGTCCTTTGATTTATGGAACCACAGATTATTCCAACATTTCCGTTGGTGGCATGGCAGACCTGGCTTGTCATGTTCCAAATTAACCAGCATCATAATCTGATTTTTGTCTGACTGGGCATTTAAAAGCTGAATGCATGTATATCATGTGTGTAGTAGAAGAAATATGTATATGCCAAGAGTCTTTTTATTTTTTCCTGTCTCTCCACACTGGTCTATAAAACAGAATATTTAGGTCACAGAGTCATAAGAAAAGCTTCTGGAGTTTTAAATGAACCACAGAATGTGTCCCTTGTATACCACACCCTGTCATTTTGCATGGATTTATGCACAACTTCAGCATCAATATAGTAAACACACTCTACTGGCAACCCTGTCATTTTAGAGCCTCCTAGTGCATCTCAAGTTCCAAATTCAGCAACAAGGCTTACTTTACTATTTTTCCCGCTCCGCCAGGCTGTCATTAAATGAAAGATCAAGTAGCACAATTTGTTGGACTAAAAATGTCTTTAAAAATGGGACTAAATGAATGTATGTGTTCACTTTACTGTGGATAGTGTCTTTGACCTTACCCTGCGAAGACATTGTAAAACTTGTGTGTGTGAGTAGTCCCATTGACTTTATGGAAACACTACAGTAGGTTAATTGACTTCAGTAGAACAATTTGTATATGTAAAGTTCAGTACCTGCATAAATTTTTGCATGATCGGGGTGTGATTGTGGAAAAAATGGAATGTGGAAAAAAACAATGGGAAGAAGGGAAATTTGCAGGGAATGGATGTCTAGTTAATTTTCTATATGTGGCTTGTGGCTTTTTATATTGTATATGGAGACATTTTTCTATCATTGCAATAATGCCAGGTTTAATACATTGATAAGTGTAATACAATGATTTATAGTTAGTGGTAATTCTGTCAGTGATGATGAACAAGATGAAATTACCTCCCCCCCTCCCAAAAAGCAAAATCAAACACACACACCACAAATATGGCTTTTACATTCATGTTTGTACATTGGAATACAGGTCATGATAGATGCATTTTGAGAAACCAAACTAATGAAGTAAATAGAATTAAAATAAAAGGCCTAGTCCATGTTCTGTCACAGACATGGAATCATTAATATTATATGGAATGATCAGTTGTGCTTAAGATAGAGGCCCATTGGTAAAAAACATGCAGCGTCTGCAGTCAGTATTCTCTCTGGCCGCACCGCTTTTTAATTTTCTTCCTCCTCCTGATCTCTGAAATAGCCCAAATCTGATGTACATAGCAAAACACCTCCCTCTCCTCAAGGCATTAAAAAATTGGAGTTGGGTGGAAGGCTTCAAGGAGAGGAGGGACAGAAGTTTCTAAGTTACCGCTGGTGGGTTATCTTAAACTGTACTGCTGGTTAAACTTAAAAATTGGGTGTCCTTTAATTGTTGTTTTAAATGAAATATATGCTTTTATCCAGTCAATTCAGATTCAAAATATTTTAAAGACCATAATGAGTGTAAATCTTCCAGGCCCAGTCACTGTTTCTAACATTTTCCTATCTTTTCTTTTCCCAGGATGGCTCGTACTTGGCTGAGTTCCTGCTGGAAAAGGGCTATGAGGTGAGTGACTCAATGACCGACTGCAGGCTGCTGGAAACACTTGGATACAGCAACCTCTAGCTTCCTTTGCTGCTGTCCTCCTTTGCGTATGTTTTCCACTCAGCCCTAGATAACAAATCAAAACTCTAGTAAAGAATGTGCAGCATAGCCTGTAATCATGCCAGCTTATTGTACTATTTATCATCTAGTGTCCACTGGTGGATTCTCTCTGCTCCTCTGGGTATATCTGCTTTGCATGCTTCCCGCTAACTTAGATAAGAAGCAACCTGTGCAAGCCAAAAGAATTAGGGAATAATTTATGATGTAGTGCACCACATTTAAAAAAACAAAACCCTACTCACAACGAAATAACTTTTAATTTTGAAATTGCACTAAGCAATAAAAACCTTGCTAATCCATGGCAGGCTCATACTGAAAATTTAAACCTGGAGGTTGCTTTCTAATAGGCATTCTGGGTTCTTTATGGAGATTTAGACTGGAGTGTTGTATTGTGCAGGGTTTTGTTTAACTTTCTCAGATTTATGACTTCTGTGCTAAGAATTTGAGCCTTTGTTTACTAACCTTGACGCAACCAAATGCGTGAGACTTGTCATTTTGCATCTTTTGTCCTTGAGTTTGGACTCTAATGTAAGCAGTGAAGTGACTTGGACTTTGACAGGCTTAAGTATAAGGAAAATAAATATTTAATATCTGTCACATGCCTATCCCAGGGTTTATACAGCAGTAATGTTCTTTTTGATGTCAGCAATACAAAAGGTCACACACTTACCGTATGCTACAATACACAATTACTTGGTACTGTTGTGACTATATAGCCACAGGTGTTTGCCTGCTCAGTAGTGAAAGGCTGTCCCATAGTCTTAATCGTACAACAGAGAGAGAAAAAGAACCCTTATTAACTTGTAGCCCATCCCCTAGTAATGCAGTATTGTTTTATTTTCTCTTTTTTGATTCAGTCTAATGTTAAGTGTCTAAAGAGACTGGGCTTCCACTACTTTCCTTTGGAAATTATTGCACAGCTTAGTAGAACTCACCATAAGAAAACTTTTCTTGATATCCATCCTAAATTTTTTTTTCTTCATCTTGTCACTGCTAGTTAATTCTACCATCTTGTACCAACTTGGTTATTCTTCGCCTGTCCTTCTGAGTGTTTATGCATCTTTCACATTCTTTCACAGTACTCAGTTCTTTCTGTCCCTTCTTTTTTGGAGCAACATCTGCTAGGAATAATTCAAATTCTGGAACAAGGAGATCTGTGTAATTGTTTTCTCTGCTCACTTCCCTTTCCCAAACGGAAAGGGACTCTATGCTTTTGTAGTGTTGGCAGCATCGGCGTTCCCTCCGACATTTCTTACAGATAAAATCGTGCACTCTGGCCCTGTTCACACTGGTACCAGAACTGTGCAGGTTTCTGTTTCCATCAGGTTTTTAGCACACTTCTCTGAGTAGTGTAGAAAGAGTTTTTGGTGAGACCCATTCTAACTTCTTTTTTGAGTGGTGGTCCCTATGTGTATTCCACATGTGGGTACGCATGTGCACTATGTGCTTGAGTACAGAAATTCTCACAAACAGTGCCTGTTAGCCTGTATATTGTGCAATAGGTCTCCTTGTGCTCCTGACTGAGGTTATGGCTGACGCCTCTCCAGTTCCTTCTTACCACCACCTGGCCTGAGTCAGAATCCTGTGTCCCCTCTTCCTTCAGCTTCTTTGTAGAACCTGCCAATGTAGTTGTAAATAGTTTTTATTCTGCTTAGTTCATGCATCTTTGTTGCTGGCTTCCTTGCACCCACTTCTAGTCTAAGGCCTTGCTTGTCAATCACCCATGTGTGGAATACAGATAGAGACAAGCACTTGAAGAAGAAATGGAGGTTACTTACTGTGACTTGAAATTCTTCAAGATGTGTGGTCCCCATCTGTATTCCACTTCCTGCCCTCCATCCCCTTTGCTTCAGATCCTGTTGGATTTGTGGTCAGGGTGTGCATGGGTGCACATGTGTGAGCCCACAGGTACTGCTTGTGAGAATTTCTGGACTCCGGCATGTGGCACTCGTGTACCTGCATGTGGAATACAGATAGGGGCCACACATCTCCAGAAACTTCCATTGACAGTAAATATCCTTCACTTATCTGAATAGGTACTTCATCACAGTATCTGAGTGCCACAGTATCTGTGCTGAAAACTAGCCTCCCTAGGTGGTTCATAGGATAGTATTATAACACCATGCTTGGATGAAAACATCTCTAGCCATACTTATCACAGCAACTGTTAAACTAAAGCTTGTAGGTGGCATGGTTCTGATCATCCTATTGTGGGCATGGCTCTTTCTGTATTCTGCAGTGTGATTACAAAGGCAAACTAATTTCCAACACAATTTAATAAATACACTAGTATTAAACACCCATTGAAAGATGCTATTGCTGTCTTTGCTAGGGATGTTATTAACAAATTAGAGAGAGGGGTTTTTTTGTTTTGTTTTTTTAAATCCTGTAGTGCATAAATAGAGTTGGAGATGCCATATGAGGAAGAAATGTCTCCTGGTAGGACTGAAGTCTTTATCGTCCTGCAGGTCTTAAAAAGCTGGTGAAAATGCATCTTTTCTTTCAGGCCCTCAGTAACTTCAAACTGGCCAAGCTAATTTTTTAATGTGTCAGAATAATTAACTTACTATTTATAAGGGGATTTGAAACTGCAACATACCATGTAAATGGCAATTGTTAATATTCTATCATTGGCTAAAATTTGGTATGCTATATCTATAGTTTTAAACTTTCTAACATTTATTATAACTATTTGGATAATAGTTGATGTCACCTGACCTATGGTGTCAAAAACAGTGTCACATCATACACATTCAGACAGATAAACAAGCTGATATTTGGTTGTAATGGAAATGAGTTCCCTTCAGGCACATGAATAAGGAAATTTACTTTGTTTGATGTTCCAATCTTAGTTCATGTTGTTAAAATTGGAAGGGTGGGGAGAAGTACAATAGCATGAGCTGAGATTAAGGATGGTAGCATTCTTAATTACAGTATAAAGTCTTTAAAAACATATGCGTTACTGATTCAGGATCTAATAAGCACTCAGAACGTGCATACCTTTCAACACGTGAATAGTGACATTGACGTCAATAGGATTGATTACTTGTATACTTACAGTTATGCAAGTGCTGAAGTGCTTTGTTGGATTTTGGCCTTAATGGCAGTGTCATATATGGCCATGTGGGACACCTGGGTATGGTTCCTGGTGCCAGTCTATTGTCAAAAGCTTAGAATGCTGTGCAAGCTTGTGCTCTCTGCTCCTTTATGGCAGGAAGTAACTGGAATGTCTCAACTGCGATCACTCTGGCCAATTAAGAAATAGGCATAGCTAGGGTGTAAAGGGGGTTCCATCCAGTTACTGTCTGTGAAGGGGATATTAGCGGAGATGCAGGGCTTCAAGGATAGGAGTGTAATGCATGGGGGGATGCCCTTTGCTTCAGTACATAGAAAATAAAACCAAATGCATGTTTCTATGGGAGATGCTGGTAGATAATGCTTTAGCATTGTACCAGTGCTTTTTGAAAATACAGATAGGGATCTCACACATAGCTGATCTCAGACAATTCTAACTTTTACAAGCCTAATGTTCTCAACGCTGATTTAAGTATGCCATTTTTTGTATGCACGCCTGTTTTTGTTTTTGGAGTGGTGCTTGCTTGCTGCAGTGTTTCTAGCCTTGTACCATATTCTCTCCATTCAGATTAATGTAATTCTTGTTTGAGTACTTGATCGTGTTATTCTGTGTCAGGTGTGTGCGCTTGCCACATGCACCGGTGCTGGAAGTTTTTCCCCCAGTGGTATCCGTAGGGGGCTGGCTCTAGCGCCCTCTGGAGTCGCGCACGTATGCGCCAGTATAAGGGGTGCCACCACTGCCCTCTTCAGTTCCTTCTTACCACCAGTGACGGTGCTGGAACATCCTCTTGCCTTGGCAAGTGGTTATACCAGTGGTTGTTTCTCAGTCATCTTTACAATCCATCCTGGAATACTTGGAATGCATCTAAAGCACCAAGGGCTGGCATTCTCACCTATCAAGGTACACCTGGCAGCCATTTCGGCCTTCCATCCTCACATCCAGGGCAGATCAGTTTTCTCACATGCAATGATGATCTGATTTCATAAGGGCCTGGAAAGTCTCTTCTCGCAGGTCCATTATCTGGTTCCCCAGTGGAACCTCAACCTAGTTCTGTCTACACTCACTGGTCCTCCCTTCGAGCCTCTGGCTTTCTGCTCTCTCCTGCATGTGTCATGGAAGATCATCCTCCTTGTAGCCATCACTTTGGCGAGATTAAGGCTCTAACCTCCAAATCCCCGTATACGGGATTCTACAAGGACAAGTTCCAGCTGTGCCTTCACCCAGCCTTCCTGCCAAAGCTGCTTTCACAATTCCATGTCAATCAGGACATTTTCCTGCCAGTCTTCTTCCCAAAGTTGCACAATTCCAACAAGGAGTGGCGTCTGCATACTTTGGATGTCAGATGTGCCCTGGCTTTCTACCTTGAGCGAACCAAGCCCATCTGCAAGTCTATTTAACTTTTAATTGCAGTGGTTGACAGTATGAAGGGTCTCCTGGTGTCATCTCAGAGAATTTTATTCTGGATCACCTCCTGCATCCGTTCCTACTATGAGCAGGGAAAGGCTACACCTCCGCCGTTAGTGACAGCTCATTCAACGAGAGCGCAGGCATCATCATCAGTTTTTCTGACACATGTTCCGATCCAGGACATTTACAGGGCCGCAACATGGGCATCTGTCCATACCTTCGCGACCCACTATGCCATCGCCCAGCAGGCCTGAGATGATGCTGGCTTTGGCAGAGCAGTGTTAAAATAGACACGTCCATGAACTTCTGCCCGCCTCCAGAGGCACTGCTTGTGAGTCACATGGAATGGACATGAGCAAGAAGTCGAAGAAAAAACTGTTAAATACCTCTCGTAACTGTTGTTTTTTGAGTTGTATTGCTCATGTCCATTCCATTACCTGCCCTCCTTCCCCTCTGTCAGAGTTGCGGCAAGAAGGAACTGAAGTGGTGGTGGTGGCTGGCAGTGCCCCTTATACCGGCGCATATGCGCGCGACTCCAGAGGGCACTAGAGCCGGCCCTATGGATACCACTGGGGGAAAAACTTCCGGCACTCGTGCACGTGGTGAGCACACACACCTGACATGGAATGGACATGAGCAACACACCTTGAAGAACAAGTTATGAGAGGTAGGTAACCATTTTTTATGCACATCAGATACAGGGAGATGAAGCTGGTGTGAGCAGACAGCAACTTGTCTGTCCATGTTCGTTTAATGTAACTTCATCAAATCCCTGTATAAGAAATGGTGCTAGGCTTCCAAGTACGGAATCTGAGTGTTGTCTTGTATGAAATCACTAATCTGTATTGGTAATTGGGAATTTCAATTCCAGTGGGGGATGACTGGTGGTTTGTTACAAACTGTTGCTTTGTTTTTTATTCATTTTGTTTTCATATAATTATAGAGATTTAGCCTCTGTACTGTCTCTCATCATTAGAGACTAATAATTATTTTGTAAGAACTATTAATATACACAGTATTGTACAAAATATAAATGATGACACAATTCCTGTCCCAAGGATCTTACAAGCTAAATATTGTTATCTATTGTAATTAATTAGGAACATAAGATTCAGCTCAGATTAGTGATTTGTAGCATTCCCTCTCAACCAATTAGCTTTATTCTCTTTCCAGACTTTTCAGGCCTCTAATTGTTTTTGCCTCTGAGCCCTTTCTATTTATGGTATATCCTTTTTGAGATAGTAACCAGAACTGAATGCAATATCCCAGGTGATCATTCAACATTGATTTATATAACAGAATTATACTAGTCCCAGTATTACTTCCTGACTTATTCCATATGCATTTTGTTTGCTTTTTGACTGTTGCTATACTTTGAGAAAGTTTTTTAACTGAGCTTTCAGCAATGATTGTCAGCTCTCTTCTATGATGGTTGCAGTTAATTAAGAATCCAGTAATTTCAGTAATGGACAAGCATGGGTCAGATAATTCCTTCCAGTGTGTGTTACCTTGCATTCTCAGCACACAATTTCTTCTGCTTTGATGCCCATTCACCTATCTTTGTTAGGTCCCTCAGAAATTCCTCAGTCTTCTGTAATCTTGACTAATTTAAATAATTTTGCATTATCGGCAAAAAATTTCATATCACTGCTCCTTTCTTTTAGCAGAGAATTGATTTAATACCCCCCAGTCCTAGTGAAGAATCTCAGGTCACAATCCTTTTGCCATGATTTGGAAGGTGACCACTTATTCCCACTTTTATATTCATTTATTTTTATTCGTCCATTAGCTAGTTTCTAAATCATAACATCACCTCTTGCTCTGTGACTACTTATTTCCTTAATGTGAGGGACTTTGCTGAAGACTTTTCGAAAGTTCAAATAACACATGCCAGCCCATTCCTCTTTATTTTGTTGAAATATTCAAAGAATTCTAATTAAATACATTTTCCTTTACAAAAATCATACTAGTGTATATCATCAAGTTCAAGTAGGTATTTTAAAATTCTGTTTTCAAAGGTTACTTCAACCAGTTTACATGTGCATTTATAGTACTTTCTGATTGGGGATTTCTGTAGAACAAACTTCTTTCAGGAAAAATTATATTCCTTTTCAGTAAAATGGAAAGTGAATGTGCTTTATCTAAACACATGAAATCTTAACAATAAAGCTGAGTAAATTGTTATTTATAAAAGTCTCTTTCAGTCTAACAGTAAAATCAGCCACAACACTTTTTTAAATTTGAGCTTATTTAAAAAAAAAAAATCAGTCCCTATTGAGAGAAATCCACTAAACTTCATTCTTAACTAGATAATCCAGTTTGCACACACTTTGGCTTTGTCACAAAGTTTGCATTTCACCTGTCTCACAAGCAGACAGAAACACCTTTCATCAGTTCTTACACTAATATTTGCTGTCATGGATTAAGCATTTGGCAGGTTTTCTTTCTCTCGTGTACACATACAAAAAAAAGGGGGGAGAGATAAAAGTGGCGTTTGTATTTATCACTGGATGCAAGACACTCTTGATCTGTTTATTTGTTGGAACTTAATCAAGTTCTGTGATGTTTGCACTTAACACATCTCAATGGTCAGCTGTTGGCATTATAGCCATTCAGCTGCCACATAAAACTTCTGCAAATAGTCTTTCCTCAAGCTTTGAGCTGGCAGTGCTTAACTACTGGTCTATGGTTTATGTACACTTGAACTTCAGAGTAGCTTAATTCAGATAATCAAGATATAACCATATTAATCAGGACTTGAAGTCAGAATATTTTGTTTTCCAGAAATAATTGTAGAGTGCTTCAATTTACTTTAAAAAAAATTTGAAAGGCTTTCTGCTGGTAGTATGCAAAGGTTGTTGATGTGCCTGTAAACAAAACATTTTGAGTAAGTAAATACAAAGTTTCTGGCATTTTGTGCAACCTTGTAAAAACAAGATCTTAATGTCATTATGCCCGTGTATTTTTTATGCATTTTACTAAAATCATACTGTTTTTACAAAAATAACTTCTTCAAACAAGTTCTGCAAAGAACACAGCAGAATGTGGATTCTTAGAACATTCTTGGAACATTTTCTTTATAGTAGTACAGAATGTGATATAATGGAAACAATAAACCTTAAGGGTCAGATTTTCAGAGGCCTTCAATCTGGCCTTTAAAACTGTAGGCACCATATTTCCATATCAGATTTTTAATACTAAAAAAAAAAAAAAAAAAATTGAGCACAAATGACATTGTGTAGGCAAATTAGGTAAGATGGATGGCAAATGTAGTTTGCACATGCAGATCAGTGTCTTTGGGCATGAAAAAACTTTAAATGTGACAATATATGGCTACAATGTTAGGGTCTGCTTTCAAAAACTAGCTTGTGAATTTAGGTAGATTAAATCATTTTAAAACTCTGAAAGTTAGTTGTTTAGCTAGGTTATACAGTCCAGTTCTTAGGGTGTATTGTTTAGTCAATTTTTGCATACTTTAGACAGAACAAAATATGAGACTCTTGCATGTATAACCAGCCGTCGCCATCCAGAAGTTGTGTCCAGGTTGTTGAATGCTCTTGGCCACAAATTAATCTGTGGGGGGGAGATGATAGGAGAAGAGAGATGGCTCAATGCAAGCAAGCAAGTTGAATCAAATTGTGATGGGAAAACTTCAGAAATATCTGGAAAAAGTCAGGTGTTAAAGTTGAAGCTTCCACTTGAGCAAGGAGCACTTGGTGACCTAAACTGACACAAACCTTGGCAGCAATGAGGAGGCTAGCTTTACATTTCTCTAGTGTGTTAGACACAAACAGGCTTTGTGAGGCAGGCATGTATTCTTGTTACAGCTAATCAGTTTTTTCAGACATATTTATCATGGCCAGTTCAGTGAAGTTACCTTTCTTCATTTAAGTCTAAGCTTCCCAGTTTTCTCATCTCCTACCTGAGAACACTGAGTCAGGAGTTTGGAACAAGGTCCTGTTCTGTCTGTCTGTTTCTGCACTTTCAACACACTGATGCTCTTGAGTAATTAAAAGTGGTTATCAAACATCTGCACAATGCTATTGTGATGTGCACTGGAATTAACAGGAGAGGATATGAAACATTTAGGATATCGGACCAAATGAGGCAGCATCAAAGAGCTCAACACAAAGTACTTTGTGCTAAAACACTGACAAATTTGTGCTGCTACATGCTTTCTGTCTTCGATTTAGGAATGAAGAGAGATGCCTGTCAATGGTACCTGATACAAGATTTTCCGCTTATGTGTTTTGGATAGGGATGGGGTGAATGGTGGACAGAGCTAGAGATATCTTACAATTTCTCTTCATTAGCCAATTATTTATGCGAAAAAAATCCAAATCAAAGTTCGCTAATAGTATCCGATCATTTTACCAGATAGGTGGTTAATTCCAGCATTTTTTGTGGAAAAAAAGTTCTAAAAGAGCTGTTTTAAATTATATAATCAAGGTATCACAGAAACTCCATTCCTTTTTCAATCCTTCTATTCCCATTTAAACTACAGGTGCATGGAATTGTTCGCCGATCTAGTTCTTTCAACACTGGCCGGATTGAGCATCTCTACAAGAATCCACAGGCTCACATTGAAGGAAGTAAGGTTTTGTCTGTATAGTTATTTCTCATTCTACATTTCTTCATGCAGTAAATTGGTTTATAGTATATCTTCTCCTATCAATGTACAAATCATCTTTATTTAAAGCATACCAGCCTATAATCACTGTAAAGTTGTCTCTTCCCAGTGGAGATGTGGGATCTGTTGTAAAGTTTGTTGTTCATTAGCCAGCCATTCCTCTTGTCTGTCTTTCTATCAGAAGCTTTATCTCAGTAAGAAGTGAAAACAGTTTTCAGATCCAATTTGATATAAAATTTTATACTTATGAATTGGCTGGAAAAACTATGCAAAAATATTTAAAGTAATTCATTGAGAGGGGAATGGGGAGGCATCTTGTACTCAGTACAAATTTTGATGATGCAGTTTTCTTACACCAAGATGAGCAATAAAGCTATAAGTGCATGGCTAGACCTACAAAAAGCTGCGTGAGGTTGAGAGAGCTTTAGGAGGCTGGAAATGTGAAGCAGCACTGAAGTAAAACAAGTTTGGAGGGTAATTATCTTTTTAGTTACATAAAATGGAGGATCATCTTATATGCAACTTTGTATGGAATATTGCTCTAGCACTGAAATAGTTTTACTTTCTCATTGCTTTTAAGGTTTTTTTTTTTTTTTTTTTTTTTTTTTTTTTT